AATAATTCTACAATTTCATTTGTAAAACTAACTGTATGTGCACCAATTAACTTTATTCCAACACTTTGTATTGTAGCAAATTTAACAAGACATTGTGATATCTTTATTATATGTTGTGGGTATGAAATTGCTAATCTCTTTTCCATAGCCATGCTGCAGAATATATAGTAAAAGCATATTTACCAAATCATTTGATTGGCCCACATTTGACACGTCACATCCAGAATGATTGGTTCCACGTATTTCCCCTAAAGTAATAAGATTTGGGGATATGATTGGAATAATAGTGTGGTAACATTAAAACAGAAGTTTTAAGTGATGGATCTTTAGTATTTATTTTTGCAATACAATGTTGTGATATGACAACTTTTGCTTTTCAAACACACATCTACTACTACAAAGTGAAACATAGGAAAACAAAAAGGGAAGAAGATGACTACAAGTGTTCCACTGAGTGTTTACTCACACAATAATTGCGTAACAAGGTTATATAAATGCAGTGATTTATTTTTATTGTAATCCTGTGTTCTTGTTGTTGTCCTGGTATGATAAAGTGAAACAAATATTTGGATCTTAAACATAATTTTAGTTTAAAAATCTATCTTTACACACGCACACACACAGTTATGATAAACCCACCTTTGCAATGCTGACAAACATTTGTCCCTCTGGGGTACAAAAGAAGAAGCACAATCACAGAAATGCAACAACCGAGCAGAACTCCAAGAATAAGGACAACAGGGCCTAATCCTGGTCCTACATTAGTTAAAAGAGAGAGAGAGAGAGAGAGAGACTGTTTAATTTAATATGTGATCATGGAGTTTATCAGTTGTTGCAGAAATGTTCTTATAATGAACAATATTCTGTTTTTGTAGAGCTAGAGACAGCTTACGATGAATATTTGTATTCATAGCACAGTATTTGTGCTGCTGCTAATGCTTGCGGAAGTTTGGAACATCTATTGAGTTTGCAAAGCATTGGTGACTTTTATGCACTATGCACTATGCTTCTCAACACTCAACAACCCCACACTGTAACTTCATGTGGTTTGCCACTTTGAGGCTTTGTTCCTTCCACTGCAATAAAAAACATTTATACTGGAGCATGTAGGAGGAAAGAAATTTCACAAACTGCTGTCACTGTGCGTCCTGTTACAGTACCATGCTTGAATTCAACAAGTTTGTAAGAACAATCTGGTGTTTCAAAAATGTTTGTGAAGGCAGACTGCATGGAGTGTGCTTTGTTTTTTTGTTTTATGACCTGTGGCGATTAAAGTGAAATGATAACTATTAAGATTAAACTATTAATCTTAGATAACTCTGATTAGAGGTCTGGAAGGCTAGATGAAACGAGCAGTGGCGCATTACATTTGTCTGTACTATGTAACTTGAATAAAGTGTGATATTTAGAGACTATCCCAAGCATTGTGCTGCATGGAATTAATAACATTGCATTACAGTTCTTAGTC